AGCTGTCCTCCCGTGCTGTTCCTTGCGTCTTCCTCGGCTTTCCCCCTGACGCGCCTGGTTGGCAGTTTTACCACCCCACCTCGCGTCGTGTTCTGTCCTCTCAGGACGTCACGTTTGACGAGTCGGTTCCGTACTACCGTCTCTTCCCCTACCGCACTGCCCCCCTCCCCCCCCCGCCGCTCTTCCTAACTCCCGTCCCCCCCCCGGTAGACCCCCTCCCCCCTCAGGGTCCTGCCCCCTCAGGTGTGTCCCAGGTAGATGCAGTCGAGCCTGTCGAGGTAGCTGTTGACTCTGGTGCTTCTGGGGGTGCTGAGCCTGAGCGTGCGGAGCCTGGGGGTGCTGGGTCTAGGGGTGCTGAGCCTGAGCGTGCGGAGCCTGGGGGTGCTGGGTCTGGGGGTGCTGAGCCTGAGCGTGCGGAGCCTTGGGGTGCTGCTTCTGGGGGTGCTGAGCCTGGGGTTGCTGAGAGTGGGGGTGCGGAGCCTGCCGGTGCTGGACCTGGAGGTCCTTCGGGTACTTTGTCCCGGCGGGAGCTTCTCTCTCCACAGGAGCTGCGCGAGTGGTTTGCTCGGCGCTGGAGCCGTGCTGCTGGAGCTGGAGGTGCTACCGGTCCTGGAGGTTCTGCTGCTGCTGGAGGTACTGGATATGGAGGTGCTGCTGGCACCGGTGCTGGAGGTTCTGCTTCTGCAGGGGGTGCTGGAGCCACGGGTCCCAGAGGTGCTCGTACTGGAGGTAGTGGAGCTGCTGGGCCTGGTGGTGCTCCTGGTGCTGGAGGTACTGGTGGAGCTGGAGCTGGTGGTGCTGCTGGAGTGGGTGCTACTGGAGGTACTGGAGCCGGAGCTGCTGTGTCTGCCGGTGGTCCTGCTGGAGCTGGAGCTGCTGGAGGTACTGGAGCTGGTGGTGCTACTGGAGTTGGAGCTGACGCTGGGGGTGCTGGTGTTGTCCCTGCTGGTTCTGGAGGTGCTGCGCGGCCGCGGCCGTACTTCGTTCCGCTCCTTGAGCAGGTTCTTAGTCTTCCGCCTTCTTCTGGTCCTGCTCCGTCCTTAGAGTATCCACCGCCTGTCCAGTCCGAGTCACAGTTACAGCAGGCCTCCCCTCTACCTGCTCCTTCTCCCTACGCTGGTCCTACTGGAGGTCTTGCTGAGCGTCGTGAGCCTGAGTCGCGTCCTGCGTCACCTGTTCGTACTGCTCGCACTAGTCGTCGTGTTCCGCGTCAGCGTCCTCCTGCGGTCCCGGGCACGCATCAGATGGCACTGCGTCCTTCCACTGCGCCACAGCGTGTCCCTTTGCCGTCTCCTCCAGAGTCCTCTCTTCCTGCTCTTGCTGACCCGGAGTCTGACTCTCTTCGTGCTGCCAGTCCTACTGTCACGCGTTTCCTAGCCACTGCTGTCACTGACCCTTCCTTTGAGTCCGCTGTTGCGTCTGCCTTAGTTGCCGAGCTTGTCGACTTCGCTGCTCACTGTTGTCTGGACTACGCCACTTGTCTTGTTGCTGAGTCTGGGCCTGTCTGTCCTCCGTCCGTCGGGGGTGAGTGTGCTCTTAGCATGGACGTCCTTGAGGACCGACAGGAGGAGTTCCAGTGTTTTGCTGCTGCTTTACCTCATCTCGTGTCCATGTTGCTTGCCCCTGAGGGAGACCCGGATGCACCAGACATCCCGACCCCGCGCTCTTACGCAGAGGCGATAGAGGGTCCCTACTCCTCTCAGTGGCAGGCAGCCATGGATGCAGAGATGGCTTCCTAGAAGTCCACAGGCACCTACGTCGACGAGGTTCCCCCACCTGGGGCGAACATCGTCAGTGGCATGTGGATCTTCAGGGTGAAGCGGCCGCCGGGCTCTCCGCCTGTCTTCAAGGCGCGTTACGTGGCTCGAGGCTTCAGTCAGCGGCAGGGAGTTGACTACTTCCAGACCTTCTCCCGGATCCCGAAGATGACCACTCTTCGGGTTCTGCTGCAAGACGCTGCTCAGCGTGACTACGAGCTTCACTCCCTTGACTTCAGCACTGCTTTCCTACAGGGCAGCCTGCACGAGGAGATCTGGTTGCGCCGCCCACCTGGCTTCACTGGGTCATTTCCTCCTGGTACCCAGTGGAGGCTCCGGCGGCCAGTCTACGGTCTCCGCCAGGTGCCCCGTGAGTGGCACGACACACTGAGGACTACGCTTGCGGCTCTTGGGTTTACTCCTTCTACTGCTGACCCGTCGCTGTTTCTTCGCACCGACACCTCCCTGCCGCTGTTCTACATCCTCGTGTACGTCGACGACTTGGTGTTTGCTACAGCTGACACTGCTGGACTCGCCCACGTGAAGTCCGAGCTGCAAAAGAGACACACGTGCACAGACCTGGGTGAACTGCGCAGCTATCTTGGCTTGCAGATCACCCGGGACAGAGCACGGCGCACCATTACCCTGACTCAGTCACACATGGTGCAGCAGGTCCTTCAGCGCTTCGACTTCACGTAATCCTCGCCTCAGGCCACTCCTCTGTCTACTCGTCACTCGCTCTCAGCTCTGCCTTCGGATGAGTCCGTAGAGCCGAGTGGCCCGTACCCAGAGCTTATTGGCTGCCTCATGTACCTGATGACCTGCACTCGACCTGACCTGGCATACCCTCTTAGCATCTTGGCACGCTATGTTGCTCCTGGGAGACACCGACCAGAGCACATGGCTGCCGCGAAGAGGGTGTTGCGCTACCTGTGCAGTACGTCGGGCATGGGGCTAGTGCTTGGAGGGTGGAGTCCAGTGGTCCTCACTAGTCACGCAGACGCGTCTTGGGTTGACGACCTGGCTACTCAGCGGTCGTCACAGGGTTACACCTTCAGCCTTGGTTCCGGTTCTGTTTCGTGGCGGTCTACCCGCTCGTCTTCTGTTCTCAGCTCCAGCTGTGAGGCTGAGATCTACGCAGGGGCCATGGCTGCACAGGAGTTACGCTGGCTCACCTACCTGCTGACTGACCTCGGTGAGCCGCCTCGTTCTCCTCCAGTTCTGTACGTAGACAACAAGGCCATGCTGGCCTTGTGTCGGGAGCACAGACTGGAGCACATAACGAAGCACATTGCTCTTCGCTACTTCCTTGCTCGTGAGCTACAGCAGCGTGGTCAGCTGCGTCTTGCTTACGTGGCCTCTCAGGCCAACACTGCTGATATCTTCACCAAGGCACTTCAGCCTTGTGATCATCAGCGTTTCTGTACTATGCTAGGTCTTGTGCCTACTTGGCCTCACTTGCTTACCTTTTGACTTTACCTGTACTGTGATCTATATATACCTGCACCTGCTTGTTTACCTTTTATATATAATCCTGCATGTGAACTGGCCTTGTAGCAGGGCTGATTTTATCAGGGTAATTACCCTGATTTCAGGGTGATTTCAGGCTTTCCACTTCGTGGAGACTGAAATTTCAGAGTTATTGAATTTCCAGCCCTGATCCAATCAGAGTAATAGTTTAGCTATCCCTGATTTTGAGTACAGTGTAACAGACTAGGCTGTTAGTGGACCCTGACTTAACAGAGTATCGACTGTGTGGACCCTGACTTATCGAGAGGAAGTTTCTCGGAAGTTTCCTTCCGATGACCCCGCCTTGGATTGATCGCAGTGATCCCCCTACATGTGCGTAATCCCCCCCCTTCCCGCTTTATCGAGACGAAGTTTCTTCGAAACTTCGTTCTGATCGAAACTTCGAGACTTTATGGAGAGTGGGGATATTTTCCCCGACTTATCGAAAGGAAGTTTCTCGGAAGTTTCCTTCCGATGACCCCGCCTTGGATTGATCGCAGTGATCCCCCCACATGTGCGTAATCCCCCCCCCTTCCCGCTTTATCGAGACGAAGTTTCTTCGAAACTTCGTTCTGATCGAAACTTCGAGACTTTATGGAGAGTGGGGATATTTTCCCCGGTAACAAAGCGCGCGTTACTACTCTGATGTTCAGTTCTCGACCCTGAACAATCAGTGTTAACTACTTTACAACCCTGAGCAATCAGTATACTGGAAAATGTGCACCCATAATAGAGGGGGAAAATTTTCCCCGGAATCAAGGAAGCTTAAAATGAAAAGTCAGCCCTGCCTTGTGGCCTTTGAACCTGTGCTCGGAATGTGTGGTGACGTTGTGATCCACCCTGAGCTTGCTTTGTTTTGCTTTGCTTGACTGGTCTTGTGTACCCTTGTTCTCCCCCACTTTGCCTATGGGGGTGTGTCGAACATAAATCACATAGCTTGTTTAGGCTGTAGTGGGGTAGACACTATGGGGTACAGTTTCTTAGGGTTTCATATTTGTACCCAACTCATTTTCTAGTCAATCATTCATTCCTAGATTCTCACATCATTTATTCACTCCCGCCGCGAATCACCCTGCGATCAATTCTGAGCAAGATCCTGACTGAGTCTCAGGTGCGATTGTAACAGTACCGTACATAAGTACCGATATCGGATTTTTATTTGCCTATATATTGCTTATTTACAGTAAATTCATGACAGCGATGGGGCACAAGCAAAGTAAGTAAAGCATGGAAGTGAACTTGAACTGGAGGTACTAGTTCAAGAAAGTGTTAATTTGTTGTGTATGGTTAGAATATGCTGTAGAGATTGTGCATAAGAGAACGTTCTGTAGAGTACAGTTCTATACATAAGCTAATGTGGAGTCGCCATGTCCTTCCCTTACATTCACTTTGTCCCAACCCTGGATCTCCTTTACAGATCATTTCCGTACACGCTAAATTAGGAACATTTACGCGACGCACGCAAACCAACCCTTGGCCCTTGCCGCGCCGCTATGCCATTCCATACCATTCCCGTAAGCACATGCGACGCGGCTTAACCCGTTTCCGAGTCGCGCTGCATGTTACTCCAGCAACATTTTACAGAGCAGGGTGGTGGGTGGTTGTGTGAGGAGGTACAAATTTGTTGGTCCTTCACTTAGTATTCAGCAACACATTCCCGACACGTGACTCAACATTCCTCGAGAGTTCCTTGCCTAGTGATCGATATATTTACCCACGTCTGCCTGCTCAGTAATGGCTTCCTCAGCGCATCCCAAGATGGCGGGGCTGCTCGCCCTCTGCCTGCTCTCGCTGATTGCGGTGTCAATAGCTGCGCCCCTCGCTGGCCCCAAGTGCAAGAACCGGTTCCCCAAGTACCCGCTCTGCAAGTTCGTCAACGACATGGCGACTTCGTTCACGCCCACCGTCGTCGACGCTGCCAGCGGGAAGACGCTTCAGATTAGCGCCTACCAGATCTACCACGTGAGTAATACCACGGAAAAGCCATTCTCTACAGTGAAGCACCCTGTTACGGTAAAACCTTGCGATCCTGACGAAATAATTTTCCCCTCATTCTTGATTTCCTGGGTTTCGAATGCGCAGAAATTTCACCGCGTCCTGCCCGCGACAAAGCAGTACGCGTACGGAATGGACGCGAAGACGGAGTCGTATCCGGGGCCCATCCTGATCGCGAAGAAGGGCGTGCGCACCAAGGTGTACTGGCAGAACAAGCTGCTGGACCGCCAGCACATGTTCACCAACGACTTCACGCTCATGCCCGGCATGGCCAAGCCCAAGATGGGCGGAATTCCCATCGGTGCGTCGCAACAGGAATTGCCTTTGCACGGCTACCAATCTTCTCCCCATTTCCGCCCGCGCGGAGCTAGCCGTTACTCACGCATTGTCTTACCATTTTGCGTCGGCATTTCCCCTCCGCAGTGGTGCACAGGCACGGAGGCGAGCAGATGAGCGATTTTGACGGGCACCCCGACGCGTGGTTCACGCAGTTCGGCGAGGTTGGCCCCACCTTCAAGTCGCGCCTCTACCGCTACGGCAACATGCAGAGCGCGTCGCTCATTTGGTTCCACGACCACGCGCTCGGGTGGACGCGCCTCAACACGGTGGCGGGGCTGGCAGGCGCGTACATCATCGTGGATCCCAAGGGCGAGGAGAAGAACCTCCAGTTCCTCCCGCAGCCCGGCAGCGGCCGCTACGTGCCTCTCGTTCTCGCCGACCGCTCGTTTTTCGCCAACGGGTCGATCGACTACCCGAACGTGGGGATCGTGCCGAAGGTGCACCCGAACTGGGTTCCCGAGTACTTTGGTAACCACATTCTGGTGAACGGCATCATGTGGCCGTACCTCAAGGTCCGGCGTGCGCTGTACCGCTTCCGCGTGCTGGGCGGGTCGAACGCGCGCTTCTACAACCTCAAGTTCACGTGCGCGGGACGCGGAGACTACCCCAACTTCACGCCCCCGCTCAAGGGCCCCAGCCTCGAGATTATCCAGGTAAACTGCTGCTTGTATGAAGCGCTGTCCACTAGGTCGTCTGAAATTCCTGTTCTAATAGTGTACATGCCGGTACATCCTTTATTTTTTTTGCGTTTTCCCATCTCATCACTTGTTTTTCCATCTGTTTCGGCGGTTCAAATCGGTTCGGATGGCGGGTACCTGGCGGCGCCGGTGCGGATGTCGTCGCTGCTGGTGATGCCGGGCGAGCGGATGGACATTCTGGTGGACTTCAACGGCGCGCCCGGGCACTGCAAGGACGTCATTCTCACCAACGACGCGCGCGCCCCCTACCCTGCCGGCGAGCCCGCCGATGCCAACACGGGCGTCAACATGCGCTTCGTGCTGAAGAAGACCAAGATACCATCCCCGCCCATCCCTAGCTCCCTCGTCGTACGCCTCCAATCCCCTCCCCGCCTGTCACTACCACCCTCGTCGTACGTCTTTGCTCTTTGAAACAGACCCTCTCGCCTGTCACTATTTTCTTGCTCCTTGCTCCTTGCTGGTTTTCTCGTCCCTTGGTTCATTCCTTTTTTTAACCCTTCCCCACACCCCGCCGAGACGGAGCAGAGCATTCCTCGGGTGGATGTTGCTAGCGCGGTGCGGTCGCGGTTCAACACGCTGGTGGAGATCATGGACCCCGCGACGCAGCTGCCCATCCGCGTGACCATCGACGGCAAGATGCACCACGACCCCGCCACCGAGATCGCCAAGGAGGGCACGGCGGAGCTGTGGAACATCATCAACCTCAGCGCGGACGCGCACGCCATGCACCTGCACCTCATCCAGCACCGCCCCATCTCGCGCCGCCCCTTCGACATCGCCAAGTTCCAGGCGGGCAAGTGCTCGTTCAAGGACAAGACCAAGCCCAGCTGCTACACTGGCCCCGCTGTTGAGGTGAACGCGAATGAGCGTGGGTGGAAGGACACGACCATGTCGCAGCCCGGCCAGGTGCTCACGATTTACACTCCGTTCTACCAGCAGTCGGGGGTGAAGACCTTCGAGTTTGATGCGAGCCGTGGACCAGGCTATGTGTGGCATTGCCACATGCTGGAGCACGAGGAGAACGACATGATGCGGCCGCTCATCATCACAAAATGAGGTATAACCTCGAGTGGTATTCTTTTCTTAGGCTAAGACGTGCTAGCTACTAGAATCGTGCTCCTTTTGTTGCTCTGAGAATAGACTGTTTAGAACCACGTTAGTAGGTTTCGTGTATTGGATTAGGTCCTAGAAGATTGATTTGGCCACATATCATCCTCTTGTGAATCCCCCCTTGAATTAACCTAATATGTAGTTCTGTATGCTATTGCGTCAGCCCATCTGAGAGAGATCTGGGCTGTGACACACTTGTCTTCTCAGCCACTAAGTTTGATCTTAATGGCCACAATGTGCTGATATACTTTTCTGAAAAATGCTAATTATGTTAACTACCTTGCCTTATTACCTTCACAGGTTCCTTATTTTTTTACTTGGATCCTTGCTTTGATTAGATAATGGAAGACACAATCTGCGACAGGAGTTTAGCACAAGCTACCGTACTAACTCTACAGTGTTGAGATAATATCGAGACTTAAGCACTTCAAGGAAATTCGTGTAGTACAGTATCGTACCGATATGCTGACGTCAGCAAAGCGCTACGCGCCCTAGGATGACGTCACCACGTAGCTATAGCCCTCGCGCACGTACCGTTTCAGAATAGGAATAGCGAGAATAGCACAGTACAATAGGCGAAAAGGTACTTTACTCTAGCTATATATTTTGTATGCTTGTCATTTTATAACATATCTGATTTCAGAGACATTGATCCTGAAACATATCACTACATGTGCTATTATTAGTCCAGACAAAGCCTCCTACAACTGGCTTTAACTCATACAAGACTCCTGCTATGACAGGAAGCTACCATCCTAAGTATTACGATCCTACTCAATCATTTCAAATTCTAACATGGTATTGCGAGCGTCTTAGGATTCTACAAGCTTTCAACTACATACTCTGCAACTATGTCTGGCTCTCCATGTCGAGATAGAGGCATAAGTGAAGGCTAGGTTCAAGTGAGGGCCTAGGCTTAGTAGCCTAGGCCAAGGGAGTCGAGGTAGTTTGTGCCAAGGAGAGGGGAATGGGAATGATGTTCACTATAGCACTAGGGTACATATAGCAAACAAAGAGGTGCACCACCTATAAAGTTAATATCTACACTACAGCTAGAACTACATGCAGGTATAAGAATATAATTCTGACATCCCCCCATAACTGCATGCAGGAATAGCTAAGTGCAGAACACAACCTGCAGAGGTACACCAGAGTGGTCTTGGGCCCATCACGATCCAACAACGGCTCTTCTGTTACGAGCCCATCATGCCCAACAGCATCTCCAGCTGCTGACAATTCTTATCTGCAGCAACAACATCAACAACAACAATATCAGCAACAACCGATGTACGGCATGCCACTGAGCAATCAGCCTGTACACACAACCGCAGCAGCGGCATCATCGGCAGCAGCCGCAGCAACAGCGGCATCAGCAGCCACAACAGCTGCAACTGCAGTAACTGGTTCTACTAATCAACCAGGACAACAGTCTAGTTTCGTACCGACTAGACCATATCAATATCAAGGTGCTTACCAGCCAACAAATCTTCAACAGCGTGTCAATGCTGCCATCTTGTCACTTAAACAGATGTTTCCAATTCCTATGAGTCTTGATGGCTCCAGTTATCAGCATGGACAGATGCCACAAGGGAGCGACGGGTCAAACAACTCCTTCTCTTTTGTTCCTGCCGGACAAGGACAACAAACACCACAAGGGTTACAGATGCCATCACTTTATCAGTTACAGTCAGCTGACGGCACCGGAAACTATCTTCCGGCTACTGCAAATCCAACAAAGATTAAAACGACAATACCATTTAACGGTCAAGACTTCTATACCTGGAGTTTCGAATTCGAGCTTCTTGTTCAGACCCCGGGATTCTGGCAATTGTTCGACGGTACAGCACCCTTTCCATCTCACGGCTCACCACTTCAACAAGCCACTTTTCGATCGGCGTCGCTGACTGCATACACAGTTCTCGTTCGTAATATGACACCGACTGAACAGCTTGGTATTCGTCATTTTCGTAACAGTAACGCTCCCGCTGAAGCAGCTTGGTTATACCTGCAAGGGGTTTACATGGCAAATGACACCATCAACCAGAGTAGAATCTTAACGCAACTGTCAAATATACAGATGATAAACGGCGAGAAGGTGACGCAGTATATCAACCGCGCTCGAAATCTACGCGACCAGCTTAAGAAGTGTGGAGGATACTTCCCTGACGCTATGTTTCACACGGTGCTACTCGCGGGTCTTGGACCAGAATGGCGACAGTGTCGCTCTATTCTTCGGATGCAAGCACAATTGTCTAAGGGGGCACTCTGTGCCGCTCTCATCGCCGAGCAGCAGGATATGGACATGCACAATGCTAGAGGAGGGAAAAAGGTGGTAAACAGCACAGTCAGTTTTTATTCTACTCCACGTCACAAGCCCGTTTGTTCCTTTTGTCGCAAAGCAGGTCATACTATCGATACCTGCTGGTCGAAGGATAAACCATCTTGGAAGCGGTCTGCATCGAAACACACCAAAGATTCTTCAATTGAAGCTGAGAAGCCGGAAGCTGAGAAGCCGGAAGCTGCGAAGCAGAACTCTGCGAAGCCGTCTACTACACCTGTCAAGACACAAGCGAAAGAAGTTATTAATTGCATGACGTCAGTTTCTACTGTCTATGATCATAACGCTGAAGACCGTATTCACAGTAACTTCAACGATGAACTCAATACGCCCATACCACCTGAGGTCTACGCCAATCTTGCACGTACCTTGGAAGGTCCCAACACATGGTATCTCGACAGTTGTTGCGGCCAGCATATGTGTTCCTCAGAAAACCACTTCGTCATCAATCAGCGTCGTCTTCAGAACCCATGCGTTGTAACCGTCGCCAACAATCAACGTCTTATAGCACACTGGATGGGTAACATAATTCTTGATTCCGTTGAAGAAGAATTCAGTCTTCACCTTACAATGTACTTCTCGTTCCTCGACTTGGCTTCAATCTGATGTCATCCGCACAGCTCATGAGGAATGGGATTACTCTTCTTGGCGAACCTGGAAAATTTACTTTGAAATATGGAGACAGGAAACTCGGCACGGCAATCGAACAGAACGGTGTATTCGTTCTCAACTTCGTACCTGAACGCACCACTGCCGACTCCGACAATATTCTCTCTCTCTCGGCCCATGGGAACATCGTGATGACATCGATTACACCGATGATACCGTTCCTCGTGAAGGAGTCGTACCCATGTCTTCAACCACGGCTGCCGCTGTCATGCTGACCTTCGACAATCAAGGCTTGAATGACGTCCAGAACTCCCGAGATTTTCTTGCTCAAGTTGGTGGTTTGGGAGATACGACGAATATGCCCACAGATGAAGGCACTTGGGGGTCACAGGAACCTGACGAGACCACTTGGGGAGAAACACTGTGAGAGAATTGACAAATGAATGAATGAACTAGAAATGAGATGGGTACAAGTAGAAAACACAAAAGTGTTGTACCCTCTAAGAACTACCCCACTACAGCCTAAATAGACTATAGCAGATATAAGTTTGACACACCCCCATAGGCAAAGTGGGGGAGAACAAGAGGTCACAAGACTAGTCAAGAAAAGCAAAGCAAGCTCAGGGTGGATCACAAAGTCACCACACAGTCTGAGCACAAGCAAAGGGCCATAAGGCCAGTTCAGATGCAGAGTTATATAAAGGAAAGCAAACAATACAGTGAACACAACCTAGCAAGTGTAAGCATGCAGGTATAAGTATATAGAGTACAGTACAAGCAGAGTCAAGAAGTCAACAAGTGAGGCACAGTAGGTACAAGGCCTAACACAGTACAGAAACGCTGATGATCACAAGGCTGAAGTGCCTTGGTGAAAACATCAGCAGTGTTGGCTTGAGAGGCCACGTAAGCAAGACGAAGCTGGCCACGCTGCTGCAACTCTCGAGCAAGGAAGTAGCGCAGAGCAATGTGCTTCGTTCTGTGCTCCAGTCTGTGCTCCTGACACAAGGCCAGCATGGCCTTGTTGTCGACGTACAGAACTGGAGGAGAACGAGGCGCCTCTCCCAAGTCGGTCAGCAGGTAGGTGAGCCAGCGAAGCTCCTGTGCAGCCATGGCCCCAGCGTAGATCTCAGCCTCACAACTGGAGCTGAGAACAGAAGAAGAGCGGGTAGACCGCCAGGAGACAGAACCGGAGCCAAGGCTGAAGGTGTAACCCTGTGACGACCGCTGCGTAGCCAAGTCGTCAACCCAGGAGGCGTCAGCGTGACCAGTGAGGACAACTCGAGCCCGTCCTCCAAGCACGAGCCCCATGCCCGATGTACTGCACAAGTATCGCAACACCCTCTTCGCAGCATCCCAGTGCACCTTTCGGTGCCTGCCGGGAGCCACGTAGCGAGCCAGAAGGCTGAGAGGGTATGCGAGGTCAGGTCGTGTGCAAGTCATCAGGTACATGAGGCAGCCCACAAGCTCTGGATACGGGCCACTCGGCTCTACGGACTCGTCCGAAGGTGGAGCTGAGAGCGAGTGACCGGTAGGCAGAGGAGTGGACTGTGGCGAGGAGTAGGTGAAGCTGAAGCGCTGAAGGACCTGCTGCACCATGTGTGACTGAGTCAAGGTAATGGTGCGCTGTGCTCTGTCCCGGGTGATCCGCAAGCCAAGATAGCTTGTCAGCTCACCCAGGTTTGTGCACGTGTGTCTCTTCTGCAGCTCAGACTTCACGTGGGCGAGTGCCTCCGTGTCAGCTGTAGCAAAGACAAGGTCGTCTACGTACACAAGAACGTAGAACGGCGGCAGAGTAGCGTCAGTGCGTAGAAACAGAGAAGGGTCAGCAGTGGAAGGAGCAAAACCAAGAGCAGCAAGAGTCGTCCTGAGCGTGTCGTGCCACTCACGGGGCGCCTGGCGGAGACCGTAGACTGGCCGCCGGAGGCTCCACTGGGTACCAGCAGGAAACGACCCAGTGAAGCCAGGTGGGCGGCGCAGCCAGATCTCCTCGTGCAGGCTG